GTGGGGTGACCCCCAACCATGAAATTATTTTCGTTACCACTTCATAACTGTAATTTTGCTACTGCTATGAATTGCAATGTAAAAATCTGATATGCGGATGGTCTTAGGAGACCCCTGTGAAAGAGTCACTCAACCCCAGGGGTCGCAACCCACAGGTTGAGAACCATTGCAACATAGGAAGGGTTTTGGCTTTGTTTTTTGTTTGTTTGTTTGTTTTTGAGTTAGAAACCTTTCTTAAGCCTGGAGTCTTTCTTCAAACCGAAAAGGGTACACACTGTAAAGTAAGTGTATCACTGAAAGCACATATGTTAAAAAATACTCAGAACACTGGGCATCATTCCAGGTTCCTCCTGTTGGCTGGGATTCACCCACTGCCAGCGGCTGGAAATGCCCTTCAGACACAGACACATGACAATCAAAACTTAATCAGTACTTATCTTCCTAATAAGATCTATCAGGACTCTGACGTTAGTGAGGGAATGCAGAATTTTTAATGATTTAGTCTCTTAAAAATAAATGCACTCAGGGCTGTCTTGATTTGATGCACTAGCGATATTAAATGTATAAAAATGAAGAGTTCATTTATCTTAGCAATTATCCAGTAATCTATTTTTTTTTTTTTTTTTTGGTTTTTCGAGACAGGGTTTCTCTGTGTAGCTTTGCACCTTTCCTGGAACTCGCTTTGGAGACCAGGCTGGCCTCGAACTCACAGAGATCCGCCTGGCTCTGCCTCCCGAGTGCTGGGATTAAAGGCGTGCGCCACCACCGCCCGGCTCCAGTAATCTATTTTAGAACTCTTGTTTTAACAAGTATTTGGGCTGGATGGTGGTGGTGGCACACACTTTTAATCCCAGCACTCAGGAGGCAGAAACAGGCGGATCTTTGAGTTCGAGGCCAGCCTGGTCTACAGAGCGAGTTCCAGGACAGCCAGGGGCTACATAGAGAAACGCTGTCTAAAAAAAAAAATGACCAAAAACAATTAAGTATTTAATAACAGTTGTACTTCAACTTTCTTTCTAGTTTGAGAAAACATTACTCTGGAGTAGACCCTCAAATTAGGATACGTGTGTGTGTGTGTGTGTGTGTGTGTGTGTGTGTGTGTGTGTGTGTGTGTAATTTACATAGATAGAGAGATAGAGAGATAGATATAGATGTGTTCTAGTTTGTTTGTTATTGTCGTAGGACATGGCCTCATCTAGCCCAGGCTAGCCTTAAACTCACTATGTAGCTGACATTGATCTTAGATTCTTGTTCTTCCTGCCTCCACTTCTCAAGTGTTAGGATTATAGACAAGTCAAACCACACTTGGGCTCAAATTAATTTTTTTTTTTTGAGACAGGGTTTCTCTGTGTTTCCCTCACTGTCCTGGAACTCTCTCTGTAGACCAGGCTGGCCTCAAACTCATAGAGATCCACCTGCCTCTGCCTCCCGAGTGCTGAGAGTAAAGGCCTGTGCCACCACTGCCCGGCTCAAATTAATAATTTAATCAAGTGGAAAAATGTTCACCTATTGTTACCCACCCAGCCTGCTCGTGTATAATATTTTCTAGATGGTCATCGCAGTTATAAAAAGAATGTAATAGATGTAATAGTAACAGTTTCTTCCCTATCACTTCCCTAGCCACATGCTCTCGGCAGGATTTACAGTAATAGACGTGAGTTTCCTCCTGCCAAGAGGGCCTTTAACACGATCAGAAAGTGGTTGGTTATTCCCAGGACATCATGCCACTACTGCATCTGGGGCTGTGTCTTGCCAAGCTGGTGGCTATAACCGTGGGACATGGGGACAAGTAAACACATGCTGGGTGATCTGAATATAACAAATTGGACTTTCCACCCATTCTTGGTCACTGTAATGGAGCCTGCTTATCATCCCCTTTCTATTCCCTCATCTTTGTTTATAAAAGCCCCTGACTCTGAGTTTTGACAGGATTCATGGATGTCTGACAAGAAATTTCACTTTCCAGCCTCCACTTACTTCTCTGTGGTCATGTGTCCAAGTTCTGACCAATGCAATGCGAGTAGGAGAGAGCTGGAACCTCCCTGTTACGTCACAGCTTTAGAGGAAATTTGTCTAAGGCCTTTTTTCTTTTCTTTTCTTTTTTGTTTTTTGTTTTTGTTTGTTTTGATGCAGTCTCACTATGTAGCCCCTGGTTGGTCTGGAACTCACTGTGTAGACCAGGCTGGCCTTGAACTTGTAGAGAAACTCCTCAGCGGTATAGCTGCCTGCAAGTGTGCAGGGGACCAGTGATACAGTTTTCGTGAACCCCTCTTGTTGAGGTAAGCTTCTCCGTGCTGCAGCTGCCTGAGACATCCATGCTCCTGTATGCAATCCTCACTCAAGCTTCATTAAGCAAACTCACCGTTTCTCCAAGCTGGACTTAGGTTGCATCGTTTCTTTGGTCTGACGTTACTCTATCTGGAGCGGCTAGAGACAGACTCCTCAAGAAAGTATCACAAGAGACAATCCACACAGATTTAAATGCTTCCAACCACCCTGTGAACCCAGAAGGAGATCCCATACCCATCAAACCTTCAGATGAGTAATTGCAGCTGGTATCTGGGCCTGCAGTCTGTTAAAGACCCTGAGGTACAAGGACCGAGTAAGGCACGCTAGAGCCCTGACTTGCAGAAACCGAGGCACTAACTATACAGGTTGGCTTGAGCATAAGGGAGACTTACACAGTAAAAGGCGACAAGTGACGCATAAACATGCTTGTAGCTAGAGTTTTCCTGCCTGGCCCACAGTCAGGACAAATCTCTATCACCTGCCAGTCCCACAGTCGCTCAGACCCGACCAAGTAAACACAGAGACTTGTATTGGTTTCAAACTGTATGGCCATGGCAGGCTTCTTGCTAACTGTTCTTTCAGCTTAAATTAATCCATTTTTATAAATCTATACCTTGCCACATGGCTCGTGGCTTACCGGCATCTTCACATGCTGTTTCTCGTCGTGGCGGCTGGCAGTGTCTCTCTGACTCAGCCTTCCACTTCCCACCTTTATTCTCCTCCTTGTCCCGCCTACACTTCCTGCCTAGCCAATGGCCAATCAGTGTTTTATTTATTGACTAATCAGCAACACATTTGCCAAACAGAACATCCCACAGCACATGCTTGTATTTCTGAGTGATGAAACGCACACGCAGAAGCAGCGCGCTGAAGTCGGAGGTGAGTCTTCATGTGTCGGGAGGAGAGCTAAGGCTGACCTCCCCGGGGATCTGCTCTTTGCTGTGCTCACTGGGTCAAACTTCGACCCTGCATTTTGGAGTTCCATAGACTTGATTTATTATCAAGCCCAGAGTGCTTTAGACTTGGGGAGCTTAACTAGCTAAGCAAACTCCCCATAGAGTACGGTTTAAATCAGGATGCTAATTTATTAATTCACCTTGATAAGTAAAACTGCCAAGTGGATCTGATAGATGGCATCTTCCTGCTGCTTTCCTTCCTCCTTCCATGGCAGCTGTTCTCAATCTTCCTAATGCTGTGACTCTTTAATACAGTTCCTCATGCTGTGCTGACCCCCAACCATATATTATTTCATTGCTACTTCATAACTGCAATTTTGCTACTCTTATGAATCATAATGTAAATATCTGATATGCAGGATATCTGATATGTGACCCCTGTGTGAGTGGTGACCCACAGGTTGAGAATCATTATTCTAGAGTCGCATCAGAAAAGCCTTAAGTGTATGCACACGTATCCCAAATTTTACCCAGCTAGACTTCTCTGAGAACGGATACCGTTCCTCTTGATGTGTCCACATCCTTGCTCAGGCCACAGCTGAGCAAGATTTCGTGGGCAGCTTTGCGGTGGTTAGGTTCCTGGATCTGGCTGAACCTGCTTGGTCTAGGATGGGCAGGAACCAACCCACCCGGACCTCTTCTTTGCCGTCCATTCTTCTCGCTTGCCAGATGACTTTTCATCCATGTTTTCTCCAAGTTCTGGGTCAAAGCTGAAGCTGGACATTTGCCCACTAACGTCCCTGGCCTGGAGCAGCCTTGATGCCTTCCCTACACTGTTTTCTGTTTGTTTGCCCGCCTGTTGCTTACTAACAGTGACTCCTCTACTCTTTGTGACAGACACCGCTTGTGCCCTCCCTTACATTCTCTCTGCCCACATTTTTTTTCTCCAGCCACTGCTATGACAAACAGCTCCAGGCAGGTGGAAACCTGGCAGCGTGATGCCTCAGCTGCAACATGCCACTTCGATTTCTGTCTGGAGCTTCCAAGAGCCTTAGAAGGAGAGACTTGAAGAAACCTGCCTGGTGATGCTCCTGCCAGGAGTTCCCAACCCTACAAAGCACCCCAACAGAGGGAGAAGAACGTGGATACATCCTGGGGTTTGTTCCATGTGGCTTCTTGGAAGTTTTGGAAACCAGAGCAGAGATCCATCCACCCATAGTGATAATTACTCAAGTGTATATCTTGCATTACGTATTCTCTCTCTCTCTCTCTCTCTCTCTCTCTCTCTCTCTCTCTCTCTCTCTCTCTCTCACTCCACCACTCCCTCATCCTTCTCCCACTCCTATTCCCTGGGATCTTGTTCCAAAAATCAACTAAGTGAATGTAAGCCAATGACCAAGGCTGATTTCTGGGAGAATCCTGCCTAAGACGACTTTGGAGGAGCATCCTTGGGGTCTTCCCTTCCTGTGATGCTGTTCCCGCCACGGTCCCCCTGGGGGCTTTGGTTTCTGACTCCTCCCTTCAGTTCTGCTCCAGCCATGTTCCTACACAGCAAGGATGGCACACTCACCACTAAAGCACCGCAGATGGATTTGACATCCTCCGCCCTACCTCAGCATTCTCACTGGAAGTTGGAATTACCCAGAACAGCTCCACTTCTGTAATCTTAGACACCATTATCTTCTCTCTCTCTCTCTCTCTCTCTCTCTCTCTCTCTATATATATATATATATATATATATATATATATATATATATATATATATAATTCTCTCAATATATATACACATATATATATATATATATTACTGTTATCTTGAAGATTAGTCAAGAAAACTCTTCATGCAAGGTTATTGATGTCAGTGAAAATTGCATTTTGTTCCCTTTCCCCCGATTGGTGACTTACCACAGTCAGGGCACATAGAGAGAAGGCCCAGTTTGACTGGCCGTCCCAGCTGTCGGAGAGTGGTGTTAGGTGCAGGGGAGTGACAGCCGTGCTGCCCAGCTACCTGGGCCTCTAGCAAACAGAGGTGTGGTCAGAATGCGTGAGTTCAGACTGAGGCTGGGTCTCAGCTGAGGATGAGCAGCGGCAAACTAAAAAGGTTCACAAATCTGAAGATGGTTCATACCTCTAACGGCAGCACTTGGGAGGCGAAGGCAAGCGGATCTCTGAGTTCGAAGCCAGTCTGGTCTACCTAGTAAGTTCTAGGATAGTCAGAGCTATGCAGAAAGACTGTCTCCAAACAAAACCAAACAAACCCTCCCCAAACCGAAGATGTGGGAGTCATACACTGGACTTTCTTCTCTAGTCCCAGCTGGGGCCACACCTGTCTGCCACTCTATATTCTGTGTCCCAGCTCCAAAGGAGATTTTTCTCTCTCCCCTCCCTGCCTTTCTCCCTCCCCCTCCCCCCTCCTCTCCCTTTCCTTTTTTGAGACAAAGTCTCGCTGTGTGGCCCAAGACAGTCTCCTGCTTCCTCCTCCTGAATGCTGAGACTCCAGGCCTATGACAGCACACCCGGCCTAAGCTGCTTTCCTGACCCCCAGACTGCCTGTTTCCCGTGGGGCCTTACATCTGCACACTTGCTGTTACCTCTGGTCTGAGGCCTTCCATTCGCATTCCCACCCTGTCTCTAGTCTCCAGGGAATGCTGGACTATTATCTCACTCTGCGCAATTCCCCTGCCACCCACGCACATGCTGTGTGAGCTTGTACGATTGCTGTCTCCCCATCAGCCACAGGCTTCATGAGGATGGAGACCTTGCCTACATTGTTTCACAGTTGACCCCAGCATCCTGCTGTTGCTAGAGCTTTTCTGCCTGGCCCACAGTCAGGGCAAATCTCTCTCACCCGCCAGTCCCAAGCCGCTCAAACCCGATCAAGTAAACACAGAGACTTATTTTGGTTACAAACTGTATGGCCGTGGCAGGCTTCTTGCTAACTGTTCTTACAGCTTAAATTAATCCATTTCTATTAATCTATACCTTGCCACGTGGCTTGTGGCTTACCGGTACTTTACATCTTCCTTGTCCTGATGGCGGCTGGCAGTGTCTCCCCTCAGCCTTCCACTTCCCAGCTCTATCCTCCTCCTTGTCCCGCCTATACTTCCTGCCTAGCCAATGGCCAATCAGTGATTTATTTATTGACCAATCAGCAACATATTTGACATACAGACCATCCCACAGCACCTCCCCTTTTCTTTTCTTAAAAAGGAAGGTTTTAACCTTTACACATCTCCAAAGTCAGCTTGGTATATTTGGGAATTTGGGCGTAGCTTTTCTTACTACTTCCTGCTGGAGGGGGGCGCTGTATCTTCTGGGGAAACAAAGAAAATTTTAGGATCATGGAGTAGTCCGTGAGGCTGTATCATCTGAGCCAGTTGTCTTGAAACGGTTCTGGATGTTGGATCATCTGGGCCATGGTGTCATTGGAGACCTTTCAGGGGGTCTTGGCTGGTCAAACCTGATGTATCTTACTCTGGAACAAATCCATAGCCTCTTGTTTTCTGTGGAAACAAAAGAGACTCTTTTCCAAAGCAACATATCCTTACATCCAAATTTTGAAGTCAAAGTATCTTTAAAATATACATACTGGTTTAACTCAGCTTCCTTTACAATCAAATATCTCTCTGTAGTTAAGAATCCCAAAGACAACACAATCCAGACTCTCTGTGTAATAGTCATCTCTACGTGGCTTATTTTTTATATTAATTTTACTGTCTCTTTAAAGACTTTATTTTTTAAAACCATGTATTTGTTTCTATACTGTATATATCACCTTTTTTTTGTCTCTTTCAAGCCTACGTATATTTTACACACATTTTAAACTATTACATCTGAATCTGTCTTATTGTGAATCTATTGCTTTAAGCTGCAGCAACTGTGGCTGCTGGCTCCGCCCACCTCAGCTTCCCAACTTGGCGTGGTACTTTACCACCAGCTCTGGGAGCTATCGTGGGTCTATGCTTTTATCCAAGCAGTGTGTAGCCCAGAAACCTCTTTTTTTGTTTTGTACTAGCAAAGGCTAAATCCACAATGTAGCTTAATGTGCCATTTGCAGAGGCCTCATTCCCGCCATACTGCAGGTCGAGCGCGCACGCCAGCAACCCGCCAGTAGCTCAAACCGGCAGCTGCCGCTCATTTGAGAGAGACAATTAGGAAGCTGTTTTTAGCTCCGTTTTAGAATCTTTTTTCAGGTTTTAGGTGGAAACTCTTGCCCCACGTTGGGCGCCATTTGTTGCTAGAGCTTTTCTGCCTGGCCCACAGTCAGGGCAAATCTCTCTCACCCGCCAGTCCCAAGCCGCTCAAACCCGATCAAGTAAACACAGAGACTTATTTTGGTTACAAACTGTATGGCCGTGGCAGGCTTCTTGCTAACTGTTCTTACAGCTTAAATTAATCCATTTCTATTAATCTATACCTTGCCACGTGGCTTGTGGCTTACCGGTACTTTACATCTTCCTTGTCCTGATGGCGGCTGGCAGTGTCTCCCCTCAGCCTTCCACTTCCCAGCTCTATCCTCCTCCTTGTCCCGCCTATACTTCCTGCCTAGCCAATGGCCAATCAGTGATTTATTTATTGACCAATCAGCAACATATTTGACATACAGACCATCCCACAGCATCCTGCTCTGTGTCTGGCTCAGGGCAGGAGCGTAACAAGCTATGATTTCTTAGCCTCTCCTCCTACACAGGACTTACCATTCTGAAATTTCAAGTTGTGCCTAGATCTTCCCATGTTGATTTGGGTTTAGGAGCGACACTCCCAGCTATACATCTTACTGCAAAATTGCCCAAACTTTTTTGACATAAAAGCTCCTTTAAAATTAGAACACACTGACACAGCATTGTCAGACCGACCAGAGATACAATGGGGATTTGGTTCATATCCATGCCAGAAGAATGAACTACAGAACTGCAGCCATAAATAATTAAAATGTGATTGATTTTCTTTTTTGAATTTTATACACTAGTGAAAAACACTTATAGGTAGTCCAAGACGCATAATCATCACCATCAGCTTGACTGACTTAAAATCACCTAAGAGACCAAGGCCAATGCTGGCATTCCCCTTCCCCTGTTTTCTCTCTGTCTATGACCAAACTGTTCATAGTGGACTCAACCCTGTGAAACTCTGAGACAAAATAAATCTCTCTCCTCACAGGTTGCTTCTGTTAGGGGCTTTGGCCATAGCAATGAAAAGTAAGCGATACACAATTCACACGGATGTCTAGGGAGATGGTGGGCTTGGGTATAGTCAGGTCTGGAAGTTCATGGAGTCCTGGAAGGCGTCGCCCTGGGAGAAGGAATGGAAGGGATGTGGAGAAACAAGCAAGTGACCCACTGTGCGACGCTCTCGTCTCTTCTGTCCCACCACGAAACTTGGCAAAGTCTACCTTGCACACGGATGCCCCAGGAGTAGATTTCCTGTTGTAGAAATGAGAAGAGCTGTCAGAGTTAGCAAAAGATTATAAAGGAAGCTGTGGAGACTGACAGCATCCTGAGTGGCTACAGAAGCCTCCCCTCAGCACAGAAACATATCTAAAAGGAGCATCAACTTCAAAAGCCACCATGTCGCAATGACTCCTGGAAACAACAAAGCAGGACTTCACTACAAAGCTCAGGAGAAACAAGTCCCCCCTCTCCCTCTCAGCGCCGGACTCCTTACTCAGGGATGCCGCCTCCAGAGCCTTCCCTGTGCTGCCTCTAAACTCCAGTGACCTCCCTTTCTGCCTCCAAATTACTGCTACCCTTTCTTCACGATCACGTGCATTTCCACAGCTCCTCCCGATGTCTAACCCCTCTCTGAATGCCATTAGCACTGAAAGGAAACAGTCGTGAAGCTACAACAGTCGTTAAAATGTGACAAGGGAAAAGACGTCATAGTTAAGGCCTAATATCTATTGTCCCCTTCATAAAGTTGTCACTACAAGGATGACACAAATGGAATGTTTTAAAAGAAAGGATGAAATGTTTGACATGATCGCATAAACCATGACATCGATGGCCTGGGGATCTAGCTCAACAGCAGAGTGCCTGCCTAGCCTGAGCAGTGCCCTGACTTGGATCTCAACGTTTTAAAATAAGTGAAGAAATAAAGTATAACCTAGAAAGCATACAAAAATCTTCAATAACAGTATTTTTGGTGTTCTTTTCACAGCTCTTAGTTTGGGGAATGATATTATAAATCCTTAAATGTGAAGTATTAAATATATTCTTTAAAAATATTTTATTTGTGTGTGTGTGTGTGTAGTTACAGGTGGTTGTGAGCTGCATGTAGGTGCCGGGAACTGAGCCCAGGTTCTCTGTAAGAGCAGTAAGTGGGCCATCTCACTTAACCTGTGAGCTATCTGTGCAGACCCTTATAGTCTTTATTGTTGTTACATTGCATAGTATTATGAAAAACTCCACATTGACAAGATGTGCTTGGGGGGAAGGAAGCACACAGAGTGTGTGCTTGACAAGCTCTCAGTGCTCTTGACCTCGATTATTCCAGAGTAACTCCTTATTTGACTTTGGACAGAGAGCTCCAGGGTGTTTTTACAAAGCTGAGCTTTCACCTTCATACTTGTGAAGGTTATTTGATTATCAGCTTTTGCTTGTTTGATTGTGACACAGTTTGAGAATCTCAAGTCATTTTTTTTATTATTGGAAATCATTCTTTCTTTTTTTTTTTTAGTCACAAATCTGTGGAGAATAAGTTTGTATCGTATAAATATTTAATATGAAAGAAGCATTAAATTTTAATTTATGTTGAAATTGTAAGACAGGATGCAGAACATACAGATGCAGCAGCCGTTGAATAAGTGACATGGATTAGCCTGAAATCGATGCTGCTTACGCAGCACTGTGGAGAGTGGACACGGCACAGTCTTGTATCAGGTAACAGTCTTCAAGGAAAGCCTTCTTGGTGGCATGCTGATGCCTAATATTTGGGGCCGTTATAGAAAAGTCTATTTCTCATTTTTCTTTCTGCGAACATTGAGATGAAAAACATTATCTCCATTAGTTCCTTCTGTTGCTGCGATAAGATACCCTGACAGAAGCAGTTTACAGGAGAGATGGTTTAGTTAGGCTTGCAGTTTAGAGAGATGCAATCTGTCATGGCGAGGAAGCAGGGAAGGCCTGGCGGCGAGGCAGGCGGCGGCTGGTCACATTGCCTCTGAACTCAGGAACAGTTCTGGGCAGATCAGCCATAGTAGAGTGTCCAGCTTTTCTGGACTTTGAGAAGACCCAGCAACTCCATTTCCTTTGTACTTTGGCCAGTCCCTTCTCAGATGGGTCCCACTAAACAGACTTGCTACACTCTCCAACTTAGACACTTTGAACAAACAAAGGAATAAGAGCAGTAAATTCTTGTGAGGAACACACAGACGCTGTCACCATGTTCTGTGCTGGCCGGCCAGTCTGTGTAAGCGCTCAGCACAACTCTATAAGATGGGTGCCATTTCCATCTCCATCTGACAGACACGGACGGAGACTGAGGTACATAAGGTGATGGAACTATCACTCCTCATCCTCGCCATTTCACTGCTCTAGTCACCCCAGCATCTCTAACGGACGGTGACCCCCTCGTGGCTCTGGGGAGATTTGTCCTGGTTCTGGGTCTTTTCTTACACAGATCCGATCAGACCTTCCTGTCATAGTTTCCTGTGACTGGGATAAAGCACTCTGACAAAAGCAACTTATGGGGAAATGGTTTGTTTTAGCTCAGGGGTCAGGCTACACTCCATCATGGTAGGAACGTCAAGTGCACAGAAACATAAAGCAGCTGGCCATGTGACATTTCACGGCTGAACAGAGAGGGGAGGGTGTATGTTACTGCTCTGCTTCTTTTCTTCACTTGCACAGCCCAAACTCCCAGCTGGGGAATGGTGCTACCCGCGGTGGGCAGTCCTTCCCCTGTCAATCAGTACAATCAAGATAGCCTTATCATAGGCATGTGCTGAGGCTCATCTCCTGCTCAAGTCTAGATTTCTTGTCAAGCTGACAATTAACATTAATTGTTGCACTTCCTGGGTGGTTAGTTGCTCCTAACCTGGGATGTATATCATATTTCTCCTCTAAGTTTTTAGCATACCTAAGCAAATATATATATATATATATATATATATATATATATATATATATATATATATATATATAATATCTATCAAAGAGGCCCAGGAAACTCTACAAGGTCCTCCCAGTTAAATGCAATTACTATTGTGAGAACGTCTTGACCAGTGGAGTGGGGATCGAAGTTCAAGTTGGTCCTTATGCAGCTACCACCACTGCACATCAGCTGCTCTTCACAGGATGAGAACAGAGCACACAAAGAGCCTTCTCAAAGTATGTCCCTGTACCAAAAGAACACATTGACCTCCTGAGGGGATACGGTCATTTAGTCACTCCTAACATAAGCTAATGCCAGCATGGGGGTTTCTGACGTGGGGGAGACATGCTCCTGAGCGAGTGAGGGTCCTCCTTCCCTTCTCTTTGTATCCAACACGGCGGTAGGTAGTGAAAGCGCACCAGTGAGAAGTGAAGGGCAGTGTGGCTTAGATGAGCATTCCCCAAGTGTCCATCTCTTAAAGGACTGGTCTCCAGTATAGTGCTAATGGGAGGAGGAGGTGGCACCTTTAAGAAGAAAGGCATTGTGGGAGGTCTTCGCTTATCAAGACATGCCTTTGAAGGGCTCTGGTCCTTTTCTTCCCTTCCATTTTGAATGTTGATGTAAGCAATTCTGATTTGTCACAAACTTGTATCATGATGTGTCTCTTCACAACCGACAGGCCAACCAGTCATACACCATCCAGTCGTGTGCAAGAACTGTGCCCTAACTGTGAGCAATGAATCCTTCCTCCTTATAAGCTGGTTGTCTGAGTATTTTATTATAGTGCCAGGAGGCTGACTAACTCCTGAGAGGGGGATGGTAGGTGGTTATTCAACTTCATTTTCCTCATCAACCCAGGCCTCATGTACATATGGCCTAAAGCCCACTCACTTGTGTTTCTTCCTGTGATAGCTGGTTTTGACTGTAAACCTGACAGGCTTTAGAACTACTGTGGAAACACACCTCTAGATGTGTCTGTGAGAATATACATAGAAATATTTACCTGAGGAGAGAATTCCCACTCTGAACGTGGGCAGCACCATCCTACGGGCTGAAGTCCTGGACATGATAGAAAGGAGGAGAATAGATGCCAACATTCGTCTCTGTCTGCTTTCACCTCACCTCAGACCCCACGGTCACGCCTCCCCCGCCATGATGGACTGTGTCCCCTGAAACTGTGAGTGAGAACAACCCCTTCCTCCCCCAATTGCTTGTGTCAGCATCTGCTCACTCCCAAAAGTGACAGCAGACAAATTGTTTATCAGCCTAATGCTGCTTCACTGTTGATGTTAAAGCCTCCTTCTCAAATTATAATGAGTATTAAAAAATAGAAACCTACAATTCGTAAGTGTATGGGGCTGAGTGAGGGGCAGTCTGAAAATACCACGGGGAAGCTACTGGCAGATCTGGCTTTCTCTGATTTCCCCGATCCCTCTAGGGGTGGTTCGGAATAATTTACTAAGGTGAGAAGGACATCATCATCAAAGTAAGAGCATATTTTTTTGCACAACATTTGTGCTCATTCCATATAATGTACCTTCATCTCACACAGCATCGCTGGATGCACAGAGAGCGTTCACCCTAATGCTCATCCATTAAGGTAGAGCATCCCTAGCACATCCCTAGCAGAGCCATCACCAAGGCAACTGATGGATTTAGAGTTGTGTTCTTGTTTGGCTGACCTGCCCTAAGTTCTTCACTTTGCACTCTTTGTGAGACTGCTTGTAATACTATGGCATGATCGTTTTTCTTTCTGAGACCCCTTCCCCACCCATTTCTTCTAAAAGCGTATGAATGCTCCTGTTGAATACTAGAAACTCAGGAATCTGGGTAGGTGGCTGAGCTCACGAAGTGTCTGCTCTGCAAGTGTGAGGACTCCACTTTAATCCACAGCAGCACGTAACAAGCTGGATTTAGTGGTGCACGATGGTAATTCCAGCACTGAGGAGGTCTCAGAGACCCTGTCTCAAAAACCAAGGTGAGTGGTGTCTGAGGAGGAATGACACCCAAGGTCATCTTCTGGCTTCCACATGTGTACACACACACACACACACACACACACACACACACACACACACACCCCTGCACATATGTGAACACACAAAAAAAGACTATTAGCAGTCTATGAGCAATCTAAAGCCTTTATTTTGAGAAAACTTCTCTTTCTCCGTCTCCTTGGAGTTCAGAACTGAAGGTGAAGGATAGACTTGTGTGTAGCTCTTCATCCGAAGCACCTTCACTATAGCAGGAAACCTGGCATGGACACAAGAGCTCAGAGAATGCTAACAAACATGGGTGGCTCATCACGTGCAAAGATGCCAGTGGCCTATGA